CATCAGTTTAGCAGCAAGATAGGAAAATGTAAGTTTTTAATCAATATAAGCTCTGTCCCTGGAGCGCTAGGCCAGATTTCTGTTGAACAGCATGACCAGACTGCCAAATCAAGGGGCTTCCAGATCAATATCAAGAGACCCCTGTTACATCTTATGGGGGTCAAGGCATTTCAGCCATGACCTTTTTTTCCCTTCTTTGTGGTTTCCCATCCAAAAATGAGGCAAGGTTTTGCAAGCCTGAGTGAGCCCTTGCACACAAGATGCCCTACACTTGCTTTTTTCCCATCATTCATTTCTGCATTAGTTCAAAAACTGGTTTTGCTTTTTTCATTGCCTGCATTTTGAAATACACTGGGCCCTTGAGCTCACTGGCCTTCCTTATGCTTGACTCTTGTTTCTCTTTCTTCTGGTGGAGAAGCCAGCATGGTGAAGAACTGCTGCCACCAACGCTGCTCCCCCTTTTCCTCACTCCCCTCATTGGCTGTGCTTCCCTGGGTGCCAGGTTCCCAAAATGAGCTGCAAGGGTAGTGGCTTGTCACTTTGGCAGCTGGAGCAGGAGGAGAGAGATGATGTAGAAAACACTGGAAAAATGGAAGAACTTAGCTGAGGTGTCAGGAGGCTGTCCATGTCCTGGGCATGTCCAGAGGGACAGGGACCATCCATGCCTGCACAGTGGTGGGGCAGAGCACAAGATGCTGGCAGTAAAAATCCTCTCAGCTCTTACCATAGGGGGACCAGCAACCCAACATGCAGAGAGCTCCTGGCAAACCTCGTGAGGAAAGGCTGACTCTCATCATTCCCACACCATGCGTTTGTACTGGACTCTGAAGGAGACCTTTTTCTGCCTTAGTGAGTCGCAGAGATCTGTCTCACGTGGTTGCCACTGTGGCACAAGGTTGTTGGTGCTGCCTGGAAGAGCCTGGAGCTCTTCTGCTGCCCCAGTGCCTCCCATCAGTGTCCAAGAGGGGCAGCCCTGCAAAGTCCACACAAACTGCATGGGATCTGGGCTGCTGCCTCCAGCTCCAGGGGTGCCTGCGGATCCCTGGGACACATTTATACTTTTTACAAGCTGGGAACATTGCCCATAGCTCAGCAAGATGTGGTGACAGCTCTCACAACCCAGAGCTCCAGCCAGGATCTTTGGATGCATCTGGGTTAGCACACAGATCACAGCCTCATGCTGCAGAGCTTGCCGGGGCTGAGAAGGGTCTGCAAATTTGATGTGACTTTAGTTTTCTACAGGGCTTGCAGACACAGAAGAGACACCTTTATGGCTAAGTTGACATCCCATCAAAATCACTAGTAGTGTGGAGAGCACCTTCAGCCCTTCTGCCCCCACACAGCAAAGTCACTTTGGGCAGTGCTGGCACTAGGGAGTCTCACCAAGAGGGGAAATGCAGCCCAAGAGATGAGTTCCAAGCCAACTTGCCTTTAACAGCTCATCTCCAGACTCAAGGTGAGGTCTTGGTTTTTTATCCCTTGTGTGAGAGCATGGTTCACGGGGAAGGAATCTTCCCGGCCTCCTTGAAGTGAGGAGGAGTGTGGTAGCAGGGCATGTCTTCCAAGAGAAACTTCCAGGTTTTTCTTGCAGTCAGTCAAGAGGTTCTGACTTGTGTGGCTTTGCTGTAAATTTGAGTCTCAATCCTTGCTGTGATGGGCATGGGGCATTTATGCAGGGCATAAATAATAGACAGTCTCTTGTATTCCCATTCATAAAAATATGAAGAAATTGTTATTTTCATTAAAAGAAAAAAAAATTCCATATGATAAAATAGGCTTGCAAAGCCAAGGAGTTAAATGTGAGTTTATACTTGCCCAACCTTCATTCAGCCACTTGCATGGATGCAGCACAACACTGCCTTTGCTCACCCAACCAAGTTCTATTTCTTTTTTTCACAGGCCCCTGTCCTATACTCAGTGTAAGGGACACATGATACTCAAGCTAACAATGAGGATGTTGTAATAAATAAGGCTGGTTTTATATGGTCAGAATTAAATATTAAACCACAGTTTTGGCAGGAGACCACAGTCTGTACATTCCTAATTTTGCGGGTGCCCAACACGAGACCCTAGGGGCCATTTTGCAGAACTGCTGAACACTCACAGCTCTTTTCCAAAATGCTGGCAGCATAGCCAGCAAACTGGTACAATCTGAAGGACTCAGTAGCACTGAGAGCCAAGAGGTCCCAGGCCCTTGTCCTGCACCTGCTGCTCCTTCCCTGTGTGGCTAAAAGGGGAAGTCTCTTTTCCTGTCAAAAGCCAGGAAAACAACCATTCTCTCTTGTCTCATCAGGAGCATAAATTCTCTATCATCAGCTACAAGGCAACTGTAGCTACTAACATCTTCAGAGCAGCACAAGACAATGAATAGTGATGTATTGCCTGCAGGGCTTGCTTGGCAGGCAGTAAACAAATAAAAAAGACGCACATTTCGCAGTATCAAAAAAAAAAAAAAAAAAAGGACCCCCTGCTTCTGTTCTTGAGTGTCATGTAGCCAAGTACTCTGAATGAAGCAGCTATGAAAATACAGTGTGTGATCCTACCAGCCAGAACTGTAACCCAGTGCAGTGGCACACTGCCTCCAGCACCAGTATTTCCTAACTTTCAGCTCCTTGCTTTTGCAATATGAATCATATATTTCACAAAATCCAACCCCTCATAGATGAAGTAACTTTTCCTTCCATCTCTTGAGTCCAGAATTGAACTAGTTAATAGAAAAAAAAAAATGCTCATCTTCTTGCTGTTATCATCCTCTCAATCACAGAAAGCTTTTTTGTGAGCCAGCATTTTGGTAAAGCCACAGCAGGAATAGGGTATGTGTGACAAGGTATTTCCCTGCAGCAGCAGGAACATCCCAGAACTCCCACTCCTGCTTCTTTCCAGGGAGAACTGAGCGTGTATCATGGTGTAGCATGCTGAGGCATTACCCAGCTGGCCAGAGCATCCCAGTATGGTCATCTGAGCTATGGTTTGAGCCACCCAGGACTGGGACAGTTGTCAAGCAGTGTAAGCAGCTGCTTGTAACCAAACATGGCAAGTGAAGGAAACTGCCTGCTCTGTCTATTGACTCAGCAACAGGCAAGAGTCACCAAAGAACTACCCAGAAATACCCTCCCACAGGCTTGAGCCTCTCCCCATCCTGTTCCAGCCTCTGTTGCTCCCTGAATGTTTCTGTCCAGGTATCCTTGTGGCCCTGTGCTGACCCTCCCAGCCCTACTGACACACAGCTCTGCCTTCATCAGGCTTCTGTGGTGCAGAAAAGCCTAGAAAATCCTTTCTGCATCAGGCTTAAAAAACAAGCCAGAGGAAGGGCAGGAAGCTGGAGTGACTCTTAAAGATGTCTGAGCTGAGAGTGCAGCACCTTGCTAGCATGTGACATTCACTTTGCTGGAGGAAAGGGTAAAGCTATGATCTGGTATAAAAATTACATAAGAAGGCTTCCTGCCTTTCTCTTTGCAAACAGCCCCTTTGCTCAGGATTTACCATAATTTCTCCAAGTGGACAGGATGCACTAACAGAGGCAGCACTGATGTCTGACAGGGAGACAACTCCCGCAAGCCTTTCGCTCATGTGGAATAATTCCCTTGCAAATGTTGTTTGCCCACAGCAGTTAGAGGAAAATCCACCCCCGCCCCCCAACAGATCTGAGCCACAAAGCTCAGAAGAAAAATTATCTGCAGTTCTAGAAAGGCTCCCTTCTCCTCACTGCTAGGAGGGTCCCCTGCTTTGGGACGAGTCGCTCTCAGTGATTAAGGATTCCCCTGTCTTTTAAGGGTTTCCTTCTCCTGCAATAGCAGCAGCTCTGGTCCTTAATCTCTCTCTCCAGCCTGGAGTGGCAGGTCAGACCCTGCTGTGTATCCTGCCCGCTGCCATTCCCATCAGGGCTGAGCTGGATGTGGCACATTCAGGTTACCTGACAGTCCACGTGGTGGGCCTGGGGCCCAGCTTGGTCGTGACCTGGTTGGAGCAACAGCCCCAAACACCCTCTCTCCCCAAATCAGGAGAGCCCCAGCTTAACATGTCGCTCTTGATTAGCAGGAGATGCAGGGACAGTAATGAACTGGTCAGGCAGAGGGAGGGGGCAGAATGCCCTGTGTGGGATGTGTGTGTGTGCACGTGTCTGTGCACGCGTATGTATGCACACATACACACAGACAGGCTAACATGTATGTATGCTCCTGTCCACAGTGTGCCTCATCTTGGGATTTGGGACCTCATTCTCACTCGTTCCTCCCAGTCAGGGCTGGAAGAGGCTGTGAAGCTTCTCTGTGCTGTGGTTCACCCACCCCCCTCAGTGCTGTGCCTTCCTCCCAAAAGTTCAGAAATCACAGGCTCAGCCTGCAGAGGTGCTGAAAGCAACTCGGGACTTATTTTTGGCTCTACTTGTGATTTGGCATCCTTCACTTCATGTCCTGTGGTCATGTCCGTGAGCACACACCCCCACACACATACACATACACCCCCCATTCCTAAAGCTGTGCTCCGAGTGCCGAACCTCTTCGATTTTGGTCCGTACTTCTCCATTTTAGGTTGTTCTTACTGAGACAGCCGAGTCCAAAATGATAGCCAGCAAAGCCATCAAAGTCCTGAGAGTGGCACCTCTCATGCTGACCCCTCTGAGAGCCCCGGGGAGCGGACAAAAGTCGGGGCTCACCAGGAGCTGCCCGGTGCGGGGTGACCCCAGCGCCGAGTTCTCAGCCTCAAAGCTGCACCGGAGCCGCCTGTGGTGCAAGCAAAGCTGCCGGTGCTGTTCTCAGCCGGGAGAAGTTGCTCCCGGCTGAAACTGGACTGGAAGCAGTAGGAAGAACCCCTGCAGCAGGTTTGCCGTTCTGCTGGATGGGGAAATGCTGCCCGTCGGTCTCGCACAGGGAGCCTTAGCGCGGAGCTGCCTGGCACGCAGCGCTGCCCTGCCCGCCGCCCCCCTCCCCGGGGAAGCCGCTCCTCTCGCCTCGCTTAGCCGGGGATGGGGGAAAACACAAAAGGGAAACGTCTTTGCTTACCTCTCTCGGGCTGGAATGGACCCTCCTGTGAGAATGGCAGCTCTCCCAGCTCTCTGAAGCCGGTACAATCCCAAAGCAAATCCAGCAGAAAGTGCCCCTGTTCTGGACCCTAGCTGGCAGGAGCCCTCCCTAGCCAGCCGCTTGCCACGCGTGGAGGGCAGGGGAGCCGCTCAGCGAGATGACAGCGTGGGAAAGGGACTGTAATCCTCCGTAAATAATAAATAGGGGGAGAGAGAAGGAGAGAGAGAGGCGGGAGAGGGAGCGACTGTGCGCGGTGAAGTGACAGCTGGGGGTACATCTGCGATGGCAGCAGCACACGCACAGGAACGCGCACAGACAGTGCAGAGGAGTCACCCCGCCAGGCAGGCAGGATCTGCTCCCAAACACCCAGAGGAAGAAGGAGCTCGGGTGGTTTTCATTCCTCTCCGTGCATCCTGCAGAAAGGGCACTTGCTGTCAGTCCCTCTCTGTCCCTCATGCCGCCCCTGCTGCCATCCCTCTCCGGGTGCCAGGAGCCGAGGGGCTCGAGGAGGGGTGAGGAGATGCCAGAGCGGGAGGAGCTCCCCACAGCCCCTGAGGAGGTAGATTGGTCAGGCACAGGTTACAAGAGAAAACACCGAGCTGAACAGTTCCTCCCCTCCCTCCACCTCTCCCCTGCTACGGCTGATGACAATAAACTCACAGAGACAGGCATCGGGATGAGAGGGGACGAGCCCTGGCTTTTGTGTAGGAGCGAGGCAAGCGGCTGCAGCGATGGGGACACAGCGGGGGAGACCCCGGTGGGACTGGGAGAAAGGCACCCCCTTCCCACCAGTGCTCCAGAGACAGTGATGGGGATGCAGTGCATCCAAGAGGGAGACAACCGAGAGGTGCCCGTGGTGGGCAACACAGCCCTGTGTCTGTTAGGGATTCAGGGAAAAATTGAGGGGTGCTGTTTGAGGGTAGTTGGGATGAGGGGAATGAGTGAAAGATCCACAGTTTGTTCCCCTGAACTTTGGGTGCAGCAGAGAGTGTGTTCAGCCATAGGTGCATGCGTCAGGTGCTGTGACATCCATCAGTGACAGGCATTCCTGCCCTCCCTGACATCTCCTGCTGGTACAGGGATGCAGTAAGCAGCCAAATCCAGCCCACTACTGCCATTGGGATTTCCTCTGTGCTCTCCCATGGGCCGCTGTAGCCTTCCCCCACAAAATCAGCCCCCTATCTTGCCTTCCTCCATCTTGATGAGGATCTCAGTAGCTCGCATTTGCAAGAATTAGTATTTTGTTGATCTGTTTAAACTGTCCCTTCTATCAGGTCCAGTATCATAAACAGGCTGATTTGGGCTTTTTGTTCATGTTAATGTCTGGAAGTTATCTTTTGAAGTGAAATTTTTAGAGGACTCAAAATGAAATTTGAAGTTACTAACTCAAGAGGGAAAATAAGAATATTTCGGAAATAGGGACTAGAAAATGCAAATGGATGGTACAGGCATGGCTGTTCTGCTGTTCTGGTACCTTCCAGTTGAATCACAGGTTTTATGTAACCATTGGACCAGCTACCATGAAAACAGGTTGTGAATGGCAAGGTAAGCCTTGGTAAGCACTCTGCAGGATGCAATCTTGACACTTTGTTATGCCTTTTTATTGTGCAGCAGGCCCAAGAATTAAATCTTGGGGAGAGCTCCTTATGTGAACAACATATGGATAATCAAAGAGAGAAGCCAGAGACTGCAGACAGAAAGAGGGGCAGCAGAGGATGAGCTAATGAAGCAGGCATGCTCAGCAGAGGCAGGAGCAGGTGGAGGGGAAGGCTCTTCTCTCCATGGTGAACAGCAGTGCACAGCTCCAGGGAAGCCCACTGCAGCCATGGCTTTGCAGGCAGGGTGGGCAGTGGCAAGTGGTGCACAGCTCCGGGTGCCATGTCAACACGGGGATGCCTACCTGTGCCAGGTGCTCAGCACCACTTCTGCTCCTGCTTTATTGCATTGCTGGGCTGCTGCAGTGGCACAAGTTGCTTGCATATGAGTAGGAATAAAACTGTTAGCCATGGTCTCTCTGGGTACTCTGCAGCAGCCACTCATCATTTCATGGACTTCAGACCTTCCTGCTGATGCAGTGTACCCTTTGCCACCAGGGCAAAAAGGCTCATTAACAATCGGTTGTTCTGAGGAGTTTATTCCAGTTTTTTTCCCTCTCACTTGAGCCATAGCATCATCCTTATCTTAGACTGGATCACTGCTTTCCTCCTTTCTCCCTGACCTCACCAACAGTGTGAAGACACACAGATGACTATTTGTTACTAGCACTGGGGGGGAGGGGGGTTCATCATGTCCTGCTTCTCCTCAGCTCCCACGTCTTACTCAGGTCACCCAAATGTGTGAAAGTTTCTCACAGTTCTTGCCAGTAGCTGCCACTTTCTGTCCCTGCCACTGGCCACCAGTCTGACCCCCCAGGTTTTCTTCTCCACCATGTTGCAGGCAGCTCTGTCCAGGCTAGGTATGTGCTCCTTATGCCTCCTGGGCAGAAGCAAGGATTTACAAGCAGGGACTAAAACCTCTCTGAAGAACAATTTGAGGCCAAGTGTTCCCAGTGGCAAAAACATGAGGCACTGAGTAAGTCTGCATTGCAAGGTTAGCTATGTAGGTATCGACTCCTCTTTAAGTCTCATGAAAACTGTATGTCCTGGCTAATACTCAGTCCCATTGATGTGATCTGCTGTGATAAGGGGAAGGACTCTTTCTTGAGATGGTTTGAAAGGATGAATTTATTTAAAGCTACGTGCCAAATCGGGTGCGTGGGCCTCATGGGACTCAGCAGCAACAGCACCGCTTGCCTGCTGTCATGGTGTGTTGGTTTGTCAGCAGGGGCACCAAGCCAAACCATGCCTGCCACAGCCTCACTGAAGCTGGGGAATCTTTGTCCAGGCCAGACTCAGCCCTGTCCTTCCTCCTTTGTTTGCATTCTTTGTCCTATCTGGTTTGTGCTCTGCGAGGCTTAGGGCAATGCAGCTCTGCAGAATCCTTCCTTTCCCCCACAGACAGGCAGTCAGATTCAGTTTACAGCAGGGAGAGCTGGATGAGAAATGTGCCTCTGATACATGGGATTGGTAAGATGTACCAGCAGTAGGAATATGACAAGGACACTGGTATAAAACACAGAGCTGATGCCAGGTGCTAGGGTCTCTGTACATGAGGCAAGAAAATATACCATTGCATACTCCAGTTTTAATTCATACCCATCTGAATTAGAGCATCAGATCATACTGTTAGCTTAAAAGCACCCACACGGCATGATTCAGATTTAAAGGATCTGTTCCCCCCTTTGAAGCTCCTTTTAATTCAGAGGAAATCTGTAGAAACAGCAATACTTCATCCTCCTGATATTGGTGGTTGTGAAAAAGGCCCCAGATCGCCCTCCCTGTATTTCCTTTTCTCCCTCACTTGCACTTTATATTCTATTTCAAGGTCCTGCTTGAGGCTGTAATTCCTCCAGAGCTCTTGGATTCAACTAGTTGACACAGAGCCCAGTTGTTCCCCATCACCACGGCGGGCTGTGCACGACTGCACTGGTTACTGTGTGTGCCTGTAGGAGCCTACCCAGGGACTGCCAGCTTGTCCTGTCAGGGAGACCCTGCACTGTTCCTTCTCCTCTGCAGCTATGCCTTAGTTCAGGAGTGTGATGCTAGGAACAGAAGGGAAATTAAGCCAGGAAATTAGGACACACTTCATTAAGAAACACACATACACACAGAGTTCTGCTTAGCCCACCGTGCACTAGGCTGGGACCAGGTAACAAATCACTATTCATAATTGACTTCCTGTCAAGTGGCATTCATTATTCTGTGCTTTTGTAGTGGCTTAGGAAAAACCTAAATCTCTGTGGTTCCCCCTTGAGACAGGTGGGTTTTCAAATTAATCCCTTCCTCACTGGCCTACTTTATTTCTGATTGATGCTGCGTGGTATAAGAGTTGAGGCTGGTGCGATCACAAACATCCGTTCTGACCAGGCAAATCTGAAAAGGACAAAGGCAAAAGCTCATGTCACCCTGGGGGGCATTTGGGGGATTTTTTTTTTTTTTTTTTTTTTTTTTGGTGGTGTTGTTGATCTGTTTGAAGCTTCATAGTGCTTAGTGTGAGGGAAATCTCAGTACTTTGGTACAGTCGGTGTCCCCTTTTCCTCTCCCTTGTTAAACCTCTGACTCTCACTTGGCAGTCTGACTCAGCGCTTACCATTCACACTTGGAGGCAGGTTGCAGTTGTGATTTACATCCCATCACCTTGGGCAAATATTTACTCCTCTTTTCCCAACTTGTATTTCTCTTTAATGCTCCTCTTTTGATCCTCCCCTCTTTTTTTGTTTCCTGCAGCGGTGGGTGTGCAAATAAAGCTGGATTTGCTCCAACGCAAGTTTTGGATGGCCATGCAACAGGTAGGAGCATCAGCAGCCATGCAGAGACACAATTTAGTGCTCTTGGTCAGCAAGGTCGATGCTATGTTACGTCACATACACTGGCATTTTAATGAGGGCTTTTGTGGAATTCATATTAAGAGATTTATGACGTAGATTAGTTTGAAGTCACACATTTCTGTAATCCTTTGTCAGCACTAATGCCATGTGAGCCATGAGTCTGTTCTGCAGATGCCGTGGTGACAGTGTCAGCATCCTGGTCTGGCATTAGCTGTGCTGCATGTGACACGTTTAATTGTGGAAATATGCTTGTGTTCATTCAGCCTTTCAGAAAACTCATGGAAATCTGCAGTTTTGGGCACACTGAAAAAGAATCTAGTGCCTTCTTTTATCATCTTGATAATGATAACAAAACGCTACCAGCTTGCCAAAATAGAAATTATTTGCTCCAGGGATAAGCTTTTGCTGTTGTCCTAATATTAGATACTCTTCTGGACTGAAGGAAGTGGAATAATTAAAACAACTCCCTTGGTCTGGGGAGCAAGACAAATGAAACCTTTCCCCCATCACCCAGGGGCTTTCTTCCCAGGCTTTGCTTTCAGGGAGGTGTGCTGGAGGGGTGAGCATGACAGGACTGTAGCAGCACACAGCAGAAGCAGCTCTCTGCTGTCAGGAGAGGGAACTGTCATCAGACAGGGATGACAGAGAAGGTAGGAGGGCAGGAAGCTGCTCTGTGGTGACAGGAGCATCCTCACAGGTTGGGATCACATAAACCTAACCTGAGCTAAAAAGATTTCTGCAAAGCACATGAGCGCATCCTGAAACAGCAACAGAGAGAGCTTTGTTTTAAACACCCTGCTCAGGGCCATACCCAGGGAGTTCTCACACAAACAAGCCCTCGTGGGTGTTAAGTGAAGCTGGGAGGCCTTATGAAAGCAGGTGAAGGGGGCCTGTGTGCCAAGTGGCTGTGAGCTGTGGCCCTGGTAGGTGCTGGTGTGAAAAAAGGCTCCATGTGCTTTCCCAAGATGTGAGAACCATTGGACAGAGGAATGACTAACAGATTTTGTTTTCTCTCTCTCTCCTGCCTCACTGATGCCGTGCTGCTCTGGATGTCCACGCTGTGCCTCCCAGCCCAATGACACTGATGTAAGTG